ATTGAAAGTCTTGGTTTTGTGTCAAACAAGAAATTTGTTAAAAAAAAAACAAGTTAACATGTACTATGAAACAGTCAAATAGTATGCGGTTTAACAAGGCAAAACGGACAATTTCTTAAAATATTTGAGTCTGTCTGAGAGAAATTTGTGTTTTTGGTACATTTTTGTTATATCATAAGTGTGGTCATTTTAGTAATCAACCTAGGTAACAAAGAAAATGTCAAAGCAAGTACGCAAAGAAATTTTGCATAAGTATCTATAGACAACAGATGTTTTGCAGATTATCATATTCTTTCAAAAGCACATGTTTTATATTTAATTCAGAAGTGTTTGGACGTCGATGTATAAAGGAGTACAAGGAAGACTACAGTCTCTTTGATTGCGAGCTGCGTAGAGCTGGAAAATTTTACGACAGAGTCTTCATTGTTTCATTTCAATATTAACTTGGGTTCTCGATAAGCACAGGCCATCACCTTCGTACAATCATTTTCGAAACGAATTGGAGGATCGTCCAGTCTTCTTTGCTTGCTTTTCGACCTTTGTGACTTTGTGACGGTATGTCGAATCAAATTATAATTATTTTTCAAATAGAATTGTACATGATTTTATGAATACAGTTTTCTTTTTCGTTACAATCTAATTATTTTTAACTTTGATTTTTGACAACCAGGAACGAGCACCTGCAGTTTGAAAGACAAGTCTAACCGCGTGGCCGAATGGAAGCCGTGTCTTCGATTTCCAAAGGCCCGTTTACACTTGCAATTTTTGCAGCGCGATTGTCGCGCGACAATCACCACTTTGCTCTCGCGCACCTCAAATCGTACGTGTAAACAGCCCTGCGATTAGAGAGGTTTAGCATGATGTTCACGGCAAACGTCAGAAAAGATCACGTGACCTGCTTTTTTAGAGTTTAACGTTGCAGTTTCAACGCGAGAGTGGGTTATTTTGAGTTTGCCATAATCGTGAAAGGCCGCTCTTTCCAATAACTACCAAAAGCATACGACCAGGCACAAAATTCTTAAGTACATTCGGTTCAGTTCTGCCGTTAGCCGTTTGCCGTTAACGTGATGCTTAAACTCTCTATTGTCGCGGCGATGCCGCTAAATTTCAAGCATGTTCGAATCTATAGCCGATTGCGCGCGACAATCGGGCTGCAAAATTTGCAAGTGTAAACGGGCCTTAAAGCCCCGTCTACACAAGCAATTTTTATGTGACAACTATATGTGACAATTTTTTTCCGTGTGGGCATGCAGCAAATAATTGTTCAAGACTCGCGCCAACTGTGATTTTGCACAGCGGATATGTCAATAAACAAAACAAATTTAAATACTATAGTTTCGTAAGAGTACTAGAGATAATAAAACTTTAAAAAATACGATACATTTTTTAATCTTAACACTGTTTCGGCATTACATTATGCCATCCTCAGAAGAATGAGGATGAGAATGAGCAATTAAAAATTGTCACATAAAAATTGTTCGTGTATATGGGACTTAATTCAGAGGTCTGAAGTCGGCAAGACTCAGAGGAACTGACATTTCTTTAATTAGATTTCTTTCTTTGTAAAAAAATAAAATGAATAAAAATAAATAAATTCAACCAAAACTAGATCAGGGGACCCGGTAACTGTAGCTTAATGAGTAAATTCATAGAGAACAAAGAGAATAAATTATAATTCTGAACACAAGTAACGAAGGCTCAAGTTTACAGGAAAGTGAGTGAGTGACTGAGTGAGTGAGTGAGTGATTGAGTGAGTGACAGACTCGTCCCCCTCCAATAACTCTTCGATTGCTTCGCAATCTTCGAGTTAAAAAAGGGTTTTATTTGGTTCAATAGCCAAAACAACACTAAGAGTAACATTACAATGGATGCAACAAATGTCCTAATCAACTTCCTATCAAATATCCTAATCCTTATACCTTCAAAACGAAGAAAGAATGGTCCAATTATAGGCCCTACACCATTCACTGGATGCTTGGGGACAATAACAAATTGTTCTGGTAATGGTTGAAGGGGGGCGGGGACTGATGAAGATTTAGAGGGATAGCAATCAATTAAATATGTGTTTTTCTTTTGGTACTATCTGCTAAGTCTACGAACGAGCAGTTCTCGTGTTGCTTCCAAACTCAACTTCAACGACCTCCATTTTTTCCGTGTCACAGTCATGTGCACCCACCATGAGTTCGCACTTTTATGTTTTCAGCGATGAGACACCATGTAGGGCCATGCAAAAATGAAATTTTTCTTGTATATTCTTGAACTGTTGTACTTATATTTTTCCACTCTCACTATCTATTAAAATTTCAGTGCAATAAACAATGATTCTCTTCAAAAGTTTCTTCACTTGTTCAAATAAATTCGATCTAAGATCACGACTAGGGTGAGATCCTCTCTACTCGGCATCTCATTGGCTAATGAGCTGAATTTGGCCTGGCCATCCGCTTTTTAGTCGGACTAGCCGAAGGCCAAACGGGCAACCCAGGCCCCTTGACCGTTGATTGTCCGTTGGCTGGCCACAGTATGGAGAGTCAAGCCTTTTTCCCGATTTTTGGAGAGTCGATCTTCGTGTTTGAACGGCTTTAGTGCATAGTCAAGAGCAGGTAGMCCTCTAAGACATCAAAATTAAGATGTATTTATGCATAACCAAATGTGTGATGGCAGTCAATTTGAACGGTAAGTGTTTTTTTGGCAAATAAATGCTTGAATTTGAAGCCGTGTCGATTGTGTTTTTGGTCGGTTTGTCTGCTACCTTGTCATAATATATATAAGTAGGGGAAAGTTTATCATATTGAGCTGAAACTTCACAGGGGTGTTGAGAAAAATAAGAAGAACACTATGTTGTAGTTTGAAATAATTTTATTCAGTTTTACCACTTTTATCGATCTTTTCGTTCTTCACTGCCAAGTCCAGTGCTTGGGCTACCTGTGGAGGAATCGACTATTTTGCGACGCTTTTCCGTCGCAAATTATGCAAATTAGGTCAGTTTTGTTTTTGGCACTTTAGAGCATCAAAATGACAAAAAAGAAGGAGGTTTAGCACACAACGTAGTTTAGGAACGGTAGTTAGACCTTTTTTAAAAACAAAAATGTGTGAAAAAAGGTGTTTTTATGCGATAAAAGTATGATATTTTTGACTAAACAGGCGAGCGCGCGCTGGCGACTTGAAAAACCGACTTGAAAACAATYCGCYCTKGCGTCATTTTCAGCCAATCACGAATCGAGAAATAACGCATTCCCCCAGAGTCTTTCATGACAACCACTGGATGGCAAAAGTGTGGGCTCTGGGTGTACGAGATTGACTTAAGTTCACTCGATTCAGTTGTCGGAAACTTTCGTCGTAATGATACTTGACGTCATTTTCAAAAGTTGTTCTGGTTCTCGCAGAATAACCTCTTCTCAACCGATCAACCCTTTTACTGCCAAAAACGATACTTTTGTAGATTGTTTGCCCCGCTGACAACCGATGTTCCCTAGTAGTATGTTTTCGGATATTGATCGGAAGTCATTCGGATATCAATCGTGGTGGTTTCGCTACATGTGACTTGGTCTTCATCGCTTATCATGGCGCTGTAGATGGCTTTCACCATTMTATTGACAAAGTAGTTTTTGTTTTCTCGAACGGAGTTAAGGATATCTTTTAGCTTAAGAAATGAAGAGAGGAAAAGGGAAGGGAAAATGTGAAAAAAATGACTGCACTGCTGCTAACTCCGAGAAAACAGACTCGATGGATAAAAGAGGTGCAGAAACGAAACTTGTAGGATTAATTCAAGAGGACAKCAACATGCCGGCCGTTACAAAGTCATCTAGAAGGCAATGGTCTGTTATTTCAAGCCTATGCTCTCGACAACAGGGACTTCTGAATCCTTCTGTGTTTGTGAAGGACGCTTGTGGCTCCCATACATTGGTTGGTAGACTGAAGCAGCTCAAGCCTCTCGTGCATCACAATGGCTGTGTGAACACTTTACATTTTAGCAGTTCTGGCGATCTACTTGCGTCTGGGAGTGATGATTTAGATATTGCAATCTGGGATTGGGCCAAAAYCAAGAAAGTTCTACATTATGACAGTGGCCACTCCAGTAATGTGTTTCAGGTATCAACAATTTCTCAAGCTTAGTCCAAAAAGTCACCAAAGAAAATAAGAGTTGTAAGAGCATGTTTGTTTTACAATTTTGTTCTTACTTTCTAGGCGAAGTTTATGCCTTTTTCAAATGATTCGACTGTAGTAACTTGTGCAAGGGATGGTCAGGTGAGGACACAGTTTCTGTTCTTGTAGTACAGTAAAAACCCGCGTATAAAAACACCTACTTTGATGGTTCAGGCTGATTTGGTTCATTATATAAAGGGTTATACTCTGCAAAATCAGCCTACTAGTATAAGTGTTCTTAATGTGTTCTTAAAAAAAAATTCTTAATATAAGGAACATACTAGGCTTTTGTTTAATATTTTGTTACATATAATTGGGGTGGAACTATTATGTGTGTGATGAAAAGTAGTATTAAGATCTTTGACATTTTTCCATATAAGAACAACTTTCATTTTTCAGGATTAGTGTGTTCTTATAGAAATGGTACTTTATTTCCTAAAATCAGGCCTGGGTGTTCTTAATRCACTTGTTCTTACACGTGGGTTTTTACTTAAGAAATATAYAACAGCGCGTGTGTCTCTGTCCTCTGATATAAACACGGTGGGAGTTCGAAAAACACGAGAGAAGCAAGCTTAGGAACACGAGCATATTTCTCTTGCTTCTCAGGTGTTTTTCAACTCCCACCATGTTTATATCAGAGGACAGAGACACAAGCAGCCGTTTTATATTTCTTTTATAAAATTTTTRGAGTGTAAAGAAAATTTTGCCGGTAAGCCGTGTCTCTGTCCTCTGATATAAACACGGTCGTCAGCCAATCAGAGCGTGCATTATATATCAAGAATTTTATAATGTATTATAGATTGGGTAAATAATGTACATTAATTGATGTATGGCCATTATTGATTTGTTAGTCAGTTGTTCACTTTCGTGTAAACCTACTGTCGTTACTATAATAACACAGCTATAATTTGTTTACATTTCGGTTCATTAACATATCATTAGCATAAGGATATAACGTTTTTAACCTAACTATCAGTAAATCAGCACTGAATATTGAAACAACATGGCACAATAAGATTTCCTCGCAATTTTGAGCTTCTCATATGAAATACTTTTTGCGTAAAACGGTTTTAAAAACTCCAATTTTTAGAGAGATTATATGAGCTTTTGCCACTCGGCATCTTTGAACACTAATATCTTATAAACTATTCCATGTAATGACCTCAAACTTTCGTAGTTTATAGTTCTTAATAAGCCCTTTTACATTATAAACTTATTTTACAGTTTTCTTTAATTTAAACTTTATGCTAATTAGCAAAATTTTGTAAACAAAGATCCACCTATTTATTGATGTTGAAGGCTGTTTATTCTTATCAGCTGTTTATTCTTTTGTCCTCCGTCCTGTTCTTTTGTAATCGTTAAAAGACTTTTTTCTATTGAAATAAATTTCTTTCTTTTTTTCCGGTGAACCTACTGAGAAGTGAACCAGGAACCTCCCACTTCTCAGTCACYCGAGTTTGAATGCCACAATTCATATAAGCAATTTAAAAAAGTCACTTAGTAGTGTACCAACATTTAGTTTGATTATATGAACTTCTGTAGCTTTTACATCACCTAGTAGATTTGCAATGCATAGTGAGATCACTGAGGCACTGGTACTTTTGTTACGTTATAAGTATTTTACTTTGCTTTAATACAAGTTGAGATAGCATTGGGCAATGTTTGTGTAAATGATACATAATGGTAATTGAACTGAGTGGAGTGCAATTTGGTTTGAAATCAAACACTTGAGCAAAAAGTTTAAAGAGTTATTTAAAGAGTAAATATTATCAAAATACTTCTTGTATATTCCTTCATAAAACACTTGATTGACTTGATCACAAAATGATTTCGAACTAAAATTGCACGTCACGAAGTTCAATTACCACTTTATTATATCCATTTTGAAATCTAACAGATTGTAAAGCATAAAAGTTTATTGATTCATACAAATAAAATATTTGCTTCTCAAAAGAGTGTGAATTAAGAGTTCAAAATGGTGCGATTTCGGCTTAAATCAACCTGCTAAGAACCAATGAGATTGCAGGATTCACTTTTGATTTCAAAATGGATATAATCAAAACATTAATTATACATTCAAGACTATTCAAAAGGAAAGCAAGCTGCTAAATGGCAACATAACTCAGATTGTGAGAGATGCTTTTGCAAGATGGTCATATGTACAGTACCGGTAATTTATTAACAAATATATATAAGTTTTTTATTAACAAAAACATGTAATAGGTGATCATAAAACAATCATAAAAATGAGATCAGAACAATTTAACATTAAAAAAGGATTACAACAAATATTAACTAACAATATAAAATTTAAGTAGCTAATGCCTTCATGTACTGAAAGAACAAGTGAATTGGTATATCATAACAGTTGTATAAAGAGATAAATTTAATGTCATAACTTTGTTTTGAGCTCCTTTGTTGAAGTAAATTCATGAAATCCACATTGTTCTTTGATTATTCTTCATGCTCTTTATTTGCAGTTTTTTAGAATTATTCCAGTGCTTTTCTTCCACTCATTGTTAAGCGGGTTAGGGCTGGTTCACACTATGACAAGCAGAAACTGAAGCAGCTGAAGCTTTTTCACACTTGACAGAAGCATGTTCTTCTGCTTATGATGTCCCGGTTCACACTCATAATCTTAGCATTATTCATTTTCAACTCTCATGTGGAATTGCCCATAAGCAGAAACAGAAGCAGAAGAAAATGAAAAAGTTTRCATTTTCATCTACTTCTGTCTCTGCTTCTGTTTTCCCTGACTCACACATACAAAATACACTTCTTCTGCTTATGTCAAAGTGTGAACTGGTCCTTAAGCTTTTTATAAATATAAACTTGTTAGTTCAGAGAGACATCAAAATTTATAATAGGAAWAGCTTCAGTAAGTGTACATTTAACTGAAAAACATGCGTGACATAAAAAAGTTTGATTTGTAGATTTGATTTGTCAGCAATGACAAAATGATGCTCAGAAATGGAAAGAGGGAAAAATAAGAAAATACACATTTCAAGTCTRWACACTCAAGTCTCAAAATATTTCAAAATTGATAGCAAATATTTCCAAGTGAGCGTAAAAGCACAAGTGATGCAATAATTTTTTAAAAATAACACAACACTTTTAAATTTCAAAGACATGTTTCGACTTTCATAAAGCCATGTTCAGTTTGAATGTGATTACATTTTACAATCAGTTATATGTAAGAGTTAGTTACCGAGAACGGAGGCATTACGCTATATACAGCCCGAGGGCCGCAGTCCCGAGGGCTGTATATAMCGTAATGCCGACGTGCGAGGTAACTAACAAACTTAGTTTTCAATTCACGTGGTTTTCGCAAAAACTGAATAGACTTAATGAATGTTTTCTTAGTTGGGTTTCGAACAATAGAATCCTCTTCTTTTGAGACTTTTTCATGGACTGTTGAAATTAGTTTCCTTTAAGAAAACCTGTTCATGCGAAAGCGAGCAATCGAAATTTGAATATTGTTATCAAATATTCTTAGCAGTCATTCTGGAAACGATGTCGAACAGTGACGATTTGTTTATAGCTCAAAATACGTTTGACATTATTCCTTTGACGAACTTTGATATTGACGATTTGCTATCGGATTTGGAACTCCGCATGCTTCTTCCCGCAAATAACGTACGATGACAAAGTCTGCAGATGGGAAAAAATGAGAAAAATTACAATAGTTTTTMATGTTGAACTCGCTCGAAAAAATACGAGGGAAGGATTCAAGAAGGAACAAACTAAAGTCTGTTTAAAGTACCAATAAATGGCCGTGTGTACGTGCTTGGATAGAATGGACCAAGTCACASCGATTACTTCTGATTCATACACGTTGGTTAATTCCGAAGAATAGATTCTTTTAAAAGTAACGGCGAAGATCTTGGTTATTGTTATCTATTCTCTGATGAACATATGAAGAAAAGCTGCTGGACTCGAACTTATTACACTCTAAATCTCCTCAAGTTTTGCTGGCCGCACTGGTCTTTTTTAGGGGAAAAATAGTTTAGTTTACTTAGTTTATTTGATGTTCAGCAGGGAAATGTGGGGTTGATGAATTGAATTGAATAACTCGTTATAAATTCAGCGGGCTATATGAGTGATTCCGGTCACTCATATATAGCCCGCTGAATTTATAACGAGCTATTCAATTCAATTCATCAACCCCACATTTCCCTGCTGAATATCAAATCCCTCCCCGGCTTTAAGTTTCTATGGTGTATACAACCCTATGAATAACAAAGAAAACCTAGTGAATTGGAAACTAAAGTAGTAATAGATAATATGATTAAATTACAACGGTCAAAAGTAAACTAAAACAAGAGATGAGATTACAAGTGGATAGTGGTATTATAGTGTTTGACCTGAGTATTAAGTTCAGGTTTAAAATGATTGATAAAAAGAGCTTCTTTTATTTTTAGCTCATAACCATTAATTGCAGTGTCTAAAATTTCAAAGCAATCTGGAGATGCAGCATTATTTTTACAACTAGAAGAAGAAGCTAGATGCTTAAAAACATGAGAGGATTTATCTTTATATATATGCTCATTGATACGTTTTGGAAAATGGCGAATGGTTTCACCAATATAACGAGTATTACAACTCGCACAAGTAAACTTGTAAACTATACGTGATCGTAGAGCCAAAGGAATAGGATCCTTTGTTGAAAATAAGSAACTCAACTTAAAAGAAGTAAAAACTAGCTTAATATTGATACCTTTACAGAAACGCTTAGGGTCAATTCCACATGAGACAGAGAAAAATCTTGAATTTCAAACCTTTAAGTCTTTATCAAAAACATATTTTATTATTGTCAARATACTGAATTAACATAAATCACAGTTTATTTTGAAAAAAATGACCACGGCCGCTCTGCAGCAGTGCATTAAACGCGGCATAGTGTTAGTGAGAATCTTGAGCCATTTACATGTAGATTTTATCTGTCATTATTATGGACTGGAAATATGCCTAGAGATGCAAATACAAAATTCTCAAGCACTAAGAGACTCCAATAATTATTTTGCAATTGCCAAATTTTCTTTACACCATTTCAGCTTTCATTTTCAGGCCTCAAAACTTTGATATGCAAGAGAGTAATGTCC